CAGGGGAATCCCAAGGCAGTCATGTACACTCCGCTTGCAATATCTGAGTTACCTGTCCCCTCTTTTCAATAAAACATTAACAATCCCCCTGCACTTTGATAAAAAATAAACAACCACTTTCTCTTCCTGGATAGATGACATACGCAGAGCAGTTAGAATACGCACAGTACAATAAGAGTTAGCACCGGTGAGAGCAAACAAGGTGTGAGTTATGGGGACTGTCAAGTGGGTTCCACATGGTGAGCTCTTCACGGGCCTTCTTCAGAGGGTTTGGCTGAAAAGCTCCCTGGTTGCCTGCCGAGGGAGGCACAGGCTGACGAGGGTGTGTAGAGCCAGTGCGTAGGATTAGGCAGTGCAGCCTGGGCCTGGAGCGGAGCTGGGAGCGGGCCTCACTGGCATGTGAGCGGTGGGAGGAGGGTCCCTTGCCCTGCGAGTCACAGGCGGGAGGCTCGCTGGGTTCAACTCAAAAACTCCAACTCCTTGGTGCCAGTTTGTGTAGACAGGTGACACTGACAGGGGTCAAAATGGCCCAAGTGCCTAGAAAGGGCTAGACATGTCTCTGGAGCCCTTGAACACATTTAAGGGAAATGACTGCTCATCTGGTTGCTCAAATCCCAGCTCCAGGCCCTGGTAAGCAGTGGGGAGAGGGTCCTGCCACTCTGAACACTGTGGCCTGGGGAAAGGCAGGGCCATCCTGAGGAGTCAGGCCCGCAGGGAGGGCAGAGATGGGGAACTGAAGGCCCAGGAGGCACACCTGGGTGTGGTTGTAAGTCTGAATCCCTGCCCTGGGCGGAGTTTCAGACTCGTGCTCTCTGGAGCCCTGGGGTTCCCTGGACCGAGCTGCATCTCCCTGGCTCCTGTCCCATGTCCACATCTTCTCAGGGGTGAGTCCGTGTGGCCACACCCACCTGTGAGCACACTCACATGTCCACTTAGGCTGCCCATCAGGCCGGGGAACTTCAGGAGTTTCAGGCCAGCCTGAGCCAGGGGAGACACCTGAAAGTGAGGCACCCACTGCGTCTTGGCGCCCGTATGTGCGAGATCCTGAGTCCAAGCTTCGGTCCCACCCCAGATGCCCGGACAGTTGGTGGGATGAAGGCTGTCGCCGTGCTCTGCACCGTCCACATCCCAGTCAGAGAGCAGCAGCCCCTGTGCCTAACGCGTGTGCCACAGAAAGGCCTCCTGCACAGCTGGTGCGCGGATGGGACACACAGCAGGGATGAGCCACAAGGTGCGACGTGGGGGGCGCTGGCAGGAGAAAGCGCAGCCAGGGTGGGTGTGCTGCCCACAGGGTCGGGGGAGAAAGCCTGCGGGAACCCCAGGCCCCACTCCGAGGAAGTGTGGGAGGTTTCTGAATGATGGGCTGGGTTAGTCGGGTCCTCCAGAGAAACAGCCAATAGGATACATACATGGAAGGGTGTATATTTTAAGGAATCAGTTCATGCAATTAGGAGGTTTGCAAGTCCAAATGCTGCAGGGCAAGCCAAGGCTGGAGACCCAGGGAAGAGCTGATGCTACGGCTTGAGCCTGGGGACAGCATGGAGGCAGAATGCTTTCTCCTTGGTGACCCCAGTCTTTTCTCCAAAGGCCTCCAACGGATTGAATGAGGCTCACCCACATTATGGAGGGCAATCTGCTCTACTCAAAGGCTACTGATTGAGATGCTAATCGCACCTGAAAAATACCTTCACAGCAACATCCGTATTGGTGTTTCACCAAACATCTGGGCACCATGGCTTGGTTAACACATAAAATTAACCGTCGCAGGGGTGCGTTATTTTCCTAGGGCTGCTCTAACAAACTGCCACAGCACTCGTAGCTTAAAATACCAAAAACGTGTTCTCTCTGGAGGCCAGGTGTCTGAAGTCAAGACGTCAACAGGGCCTCTCCCTCTGAAGCCTCTTCTAGCTCTGGCAGCCCCAGATAATTCTTGGTTTGTGGCAATTTAAGTCCAATTTCACATGGCTGTCTTCCCCAGCGACCTCATCTTAACTTGATTACATCTGCAAAGACCCCATAAGGTCACATGCACAGGTACCAGGGGTTGTATTTTAAGGAGACACAATTCAACTCATGACAGGGGAAATGTGACTTCAGGGGCTTTAGGAGCATTCGGGAGGCAGGGCAGCCGCCGCCTGGAGGAAGGGAGAAACGTTTCCCCTGCCGG